CGAACAGACCTGGAGTGGACATTTATTTGCAGGTTGCTAGTTGCAAGCTCAGTCCTGTGTCATCAGAGGTATAACACTCCCTACAAAAGAAGTATAGCCAGACTGGACTGCACTAGACTGGGTCCATTTCTGTGGGTGCTGGGTCCTGTACTGATGGAAAATAAACCTCTTCAGCCTCATGTCTCTTCTCTTCAATTCTCGTTACTACAATTTATTCTGCCAAATGAAAAAGTGGTTAGTTAAGTTTGTTTCTACAAACGTCCGGAAAAAGATTTTCTGATCTATGTTATAATTTTGTTTCCTCATCACGAACAGACCTGGAGTGGAAATTTATTTGCAGGTTGTTGCGTACTAGTAGTAGCTGTCCGTTTGTTCACTGGTTTTCAACTTCCTGTTATGGTTTTGAATAGTTAATCGCTTTGGTAATCGCTATGGAAACCCGTGGATCAAAGCCGTTATATAGCTTTCCTTTGTTGCTGTGTTTGTTTCTATGTCACTGGAGCCAAACTTTGAATTTTGTCCGTTGGATGTAACACAGACTTCATTCATAATCACTGATAATACTTCATTCTTACACGTTGAACTTTTTATTCGGTTCAGAAAAGTGCATAGTACCAAGGCCAGTGATAAGATCCTCCCACGCAGTCATCAGCGGAGGAGTTTGATCCTCAGACCATTTTTATTACCGCAATATCGCTCTGCAGAAGTATTTTCCTGTTAACCCTCAACACTATCCATCCACGGGTTCCAGAATGATGGAAAATGAGAAACGTTGCCATAGCAATTAACAATTAAAACGAACTATGTTAAATCTTAAGAATGGGAACGTTTTTTATACTTTTTGACACTTTTTTTTTTTGCATATATAAACATTCAACAGCGCTGTTATTTGTTGAATGTACACATATATGCTGGAATCAAAGAAGGTGTTTGGCCCAAGGACACAATGCCAGTAATAAATGGAAGAATACAGATCAATATTTCCATAACTGAACTACTATTAGCAGTGTTTCAAAGGTCTTATATTGCGCAAAATTGATTCACGTGAACTTTAAGTCATGTTAGAATGTTTTTTCCGTCGTCAAAAACATACCCGGTGTTGTGTTTTGTTTCATTCATACATATTTGAGTAACTCTTTATTAGTCTGTCTACATTTCCAAAGCTCAAAAATCTCTGTTCCACCTTGTGATGTCATGAAGTGGTAGTTTTCAACAGCTCCTTTTACCTTTAGTTCAGCAGAGATCTGCAATTCCAGGGTTGAAATTGTCCAAATCTAGTGATGGTGTATGGAGGTTAAAAACACAATGGAGCACTTCCTGTATTATCACATGACATCACAAGGTGGAACAAAGTGAAAAAGAAAGATAGAAGCTGCAGGGTGTGTGTGGTAACCATGTCCATGTGTAAATGAAACAAAACACAAGTCCAGCTTTGTTTTTAATGGGGAAAGAACATTATAACATAAAACTGAAAAAATAAAATAAAATAATGCAATATGGTCGCTTTAAAAACAAATTACAAACTGTAGTACAACTGTTACAAATCAACTGAATACAATAGAATTTAGTTAAATGTGTGTATTCCGTGCTTCTTCTGAACAAAGACGTGTGAGTTTGGATGCACCCTGAGAAAAAACTCCTCCGTTTCCTTTGTGAGATTTGACACAAAAACAGCTTTAGACACATCCCCTAAACCTCTAACCCGCTTTAAAGCAGTAAAGCTCCCCTTCTAAACATTTAGCTTACAGCCATGTACAAGCAGTTTGTACTTCACTAACAAACAGGCAATTGTTTTTTTGTTTCGTACAAGGCTATAGCGGATATTACGTTAACTACAGAGTTTCTATCTGTTTGTATGATTATTGTGATGTAGATTTGCTGCTAAATAGCTATTTCGGCATGGTTCAGTATCCTTTTCTTCCATCAGAGGGCACCAGACATCTAATCCAAGTGTTAATGTTTTATTAATAAAATGTATATTGAAAAAAAATAAAATAAAATAAAATAGGGAATTAGGTAAAAACTAGGAATTAATTTTGTCACATGATTTGTAAGAACAGCGGGGTATTTGCAGTTTGGATGCTTCCTTAGAAACACCCTTTGTTGCTATGGTGACCTGCTCTTCCTCTTTTGGGTTGTCCTAAACATGGTGCTGTCCCTGCTCCTACTTATTTAGAAAATGTCCTTTTTTTTAATTGATGTAACTGAAACACAATCATAATAATTTGCATACAGTTATCTTTTTGCTTGACATTCACAGTATGGTGTGACCTATCGCTTTTCCACTCACTTCTGTGTTTTGCGAGACAGTGTATTTATGTATGAAAACTTCTTTTGCACAAACAGATAAGTGCTGTTTTAAAAAGTCATCGGAGGCTTAAAGTTTACTCTTTGTGCTACATGGGCCCCCCTCTAAATTCTGGCCTCAGTCCTCCAAATTTCCGTCGACGGGCCTGATTCCACCCCTCTTTGATAAAATCCAGTCGATATTACAGTTTATTAATTAATACAAGTAGAAGATGGTAACAAATTTCCAAAAAACATGTTGTCAATTTCAAAACAGAGATATCGGTTCATATCTATAAGCTTACATTTCCTGAGTCCGTCCTACCATATCGCAAATCACAATTTCTAGCGGTTTGAGGAGGTACCGCTATTTGTCGTCTTTGCTGTTTTGCTCAAAAGCACATCAAAAATACATCTGTTCAGTCACGTCACCTATGCCTTTAAAGCAGGGGTGTCAGACTCAAATTCACAGTGGGCCAAAATTAAAAACTGGAACTAAGTCATGGGTCAAACTAAACATTTACTGATATCTGCATGTTTTCTCTTCTTTCGAGATAGGTAATGTTAAACTTTTTCCTATTAAAAGAAGAGTTTAATAATAGTTTTGCTTTAACATTGAATCCAGAACAAGCATAATATAAAATAATAACGACATTTTAAATTAAATAAATAATGTCTCTATAGCAGGGATCTCCACCCTTTTTCCTCGGGTGTGCTACTTTTCCAAAACAAAAATTTCACAGAGCTACTCATTTTAGAGCTCACAAGAAATAAAGTATATAAGAGCCACAGCAAAACAGATGGGGTACAGTTAAATAAAACATAAACCATTATTTACGAGTGCACAAAGTCAGGAGGCAAATGATAGATTTCCAATAATGATACGCATTTCATTAATCAAATTTTAGTTATTTAGAACAATACATGTAATTCAGAAATCCCTTTGGCGAGCTACTTGGAAGTCTGTTTTAAAGAAAGTTTGAAAAAAACAAAAAAAACACAACTCCAGGTATGTTTCTGAGGAAATAAGTGCATTATAACATGGCAGTAAAGTCACAAGAATTCAAGAATTATGAGTGTGTAGTGAATTATTATTAGTACTAGTACTATTTGAAGCATTTGGAGTAGTGTTTCTCATGCTTAATTTATACTCTTACATATTATTGTGTATATTTTTAGCCATGTAACTGTGCTTTTACTTGAAAACACAATGAACACACATCCAAACACATAAATATTTTTGTTGGACGTTTCTTACCCTTTGCAGTTGAATGCCTCTCCTCGAACAATCGGAGTACCCAAGATGTGTGAAGAAGTGCAATCTGGTAAGATATGTTATTTATTTATTTTTAAGACAGTACTGTACAAAGAATGAAGTAGTCGCACTATTTGTCGCGTGTGATGTTTTGCTCAAGAGCACATCAAAAACACATCTGTTTAGCCACGTCCCCTAAACCTCCCTAAACCTCTTTAAAGAAAGTTTGATTAAATTCGCAACAAAACCGTTTATCCAACGCAACCCCGGATTACACGGCGCCACGGAAAACCCAACCCCACAAATGTTTACGCCATATGACCCCGGCCTGACGCTGTATTAATGTCAGTTTAGAAGAGGATTAGAGGACACCTTTTAGCTGTTTTTTAGCCAGCAACAACATCTACGCTATAGGTCTTTTTGCACTGAAGGGTGAGCGCTTTATTTTGACTGTGTGGTAATCCGGCGTCGAAATCCACGGGGGAGGCTAACAGGAGACGTCATGGAGAGCTGACCTAAATTTGCGAAGGCAAAGAGAGACAAAACACGTTGAAAGATTAGCCAAAAGCCTCTAATTATGGTTGAGATAGGCACAGGCGCTCGTTCTGAAACCAAAAACAGCAATTTGAGTAGTGAAACAGTGATCCGCTGGGGCTGCACCTGACATTTAAAGATTACTGGAGGAGGAGGTGGCTGACGGTAGATGTTTGACTAGATAGGCAAAAATTATGGTTTAGCTGTGATTTAGAAATGAGTCATCACAGCGTTATTGAAAATATGATAGCGATACAAGGATGGAGAAACATTTTTGGGGTGTTTTGGTGTAAAGCTTCAGTTTTCTGTTGTTCCTTTTTGTGGGTTTTTGTGGGGGTTTTTTGTAAAGAATTGTACATGTTTTGTACACTATGGTTGAAAGTTGTCAGATTGGTGGTGGATAATGCCTAAGACGAACAATCATGAACTCCTCTTTCCATAAAAAGTTTCAAAATGTAACTTCATCACTTTTTCTTTCACTTTGCTTGTCTCCATGGAGATGTTATTGCTTTGTATGTATAGGGTGCATGTATACAATTCTTGCATATGTGTGTATTTTTATTGTGAGCTGGGACACCTCTGCATAGATCTGACCTACATCTCAGCCTAGTGGACTCAGCTGCTTCTTTTCACGGATGGATGCAGTGATTCCAGACACTCCAGACATATCTCCATAGAGGTGTGCCAAAACATTATATTATGGATATATGGTATTGTTTAACTTGATGATACAGTATCGATATATCAACATGAGTATTTTTTGGTATATTTTTCTAAATTATTTTGTTAAGGTGATATAGTTTTGTTGCTTGTTTAGTGGAAGGAAACTCATTTATGCAACACATTTGAAATTTTCACTGTTTTGATGAGTAAAATGTTTGTATTTCATATTCACTTTGCAGAAAAAGTGGTTTAACAAAGACTCTTAGTATCACAACCATGATTTATTTTTTTATTTAACCAAATCAATTTGAAATATATCGCACTGAATCGAAAGTGCACTACCAAAAAGTAGTGCACTCAATTTCTTATGTTTACTTTTGACCAAAACATATTCTAAACTTTTGATTCATCTAAATGTCCATCTTTGGCAGATATAACAGCTGAACACACTCGTGGCTCGTTCTTTTTACAATAGAAATCAAATATTCTTCAGAAAGTTCTTCCCAAGTCTGTTGCTGAATATTTCATGAGTGTGTGGCACTTGTAGGTTGCTTGGCTTTCACTCTTCTGTCCAGTTCATCCTAAAAAAAAAAAGGGGGGGGGTTTAAGTCTGGAGACTGTGCTGGACACTCCATGTTTTCAAGCTCACCATCTTGTTCTTTTTGCCTGAAGTAGTTTTGGCAGAGCTTGGACTTTTTTTTAACCAGTACCAACCTTTGTACCATTTCAAGCTCTTCACTGAACTTGCACGACTTGAATTGCAATAAATAACTGGAAAAATTAGGATGTTCTAAAACTTTTGACTGGTAGCGTATGTATCGTATTGTGGCCTATGTATCGAGGTATGTATCGTACCGGCAACTTCTTAATGATACCCAGCCTCAGAAAAGGTTCCACCAAAAAAACTGCACTTTTAGATTAAAGGCCTAAATCATATTTGAGTGACTCATCATAGTCGTGTGTCTTTGCAGTATATTCTCTAGCATCACACTGGAAAATTCTCCTTTACTTTACTCTTTTGTTTTTAACAGTGTGAGTTGTGTGGTCCTTTGTGTCCTTTGGGACCTAATTTGAGCAGTTTTTAGCTTTATGTATTTTAAGGCTTTTCTAAACATAATTTTCTCTCTTTTATTGACTTACTTTGTCTGTGCAGCTCTTTGGAAATTCTCATGTTTATAAAATGTATAAATAAAGTAATCTGGACTGAAACATATTTAGTAAGAGCATGTATCTGATAAGCACATTTCAGCCTGTTTTAAGAGATTGGACCAGGCTTTTATCAGATGATGTCAAGGTTACCAAGGTTTTCTCAAAATAAATAATGAGTTATGGTCACTTACATAACAGACCACTAAAACAGTCAAAAGTTCCATAGAAAAAGAGAAAACACCACCACAGAACCAGGGCCGTCAGACTGGAGAGGGGTGAAGGGTACAGTTTTCTTAGGACCCATAGAAACAGGGGTCCTTCACGAAATCTGTAATACACTTTAAAAAGCAATATCTAGATAAGTTAAAATGACTTCAATTAAAAACATTTTGCTTTATATGAGTAGATTCAACTTTAATCGACCTACCAATGGAATAATTGTATTTTTTTTAAGTGTAGCAAGATGTATTTTCATATTTTAAGTACAAAAAGTCTTGTTCCATTGGTAGATAATTTTACTTGTCAAGTGAAATTTACTCAAATCATGATAAAACTTTCTTAATCTGAGTCATCTTAACTTGGCTAGATTTTTGTTTTTGAAGTGCACAAAATCTATAATACGCAATTTTCATATAGCGGCCCCACCAAGATGATTTATACCCAAAATTTTGTGCTACACCCCTGGACAGAACTAAACACTCTTGACAAATTACCCAACAAATTCATTCTCTTTTATGACTGTTAAAAAGGAAACCAACAGCCCGGACAAAACGGCTTCGTCAGCTCCACTTAAGAGCGCTGTGAAATGCATAAAAACAAGCCGTGGGTGTTCCGATGGTTGCCTCCTGCTGTGGTGCCCTTGAGCATGGCACACCATCTGCTCTCTCAGCGGGGGACCGGGCAGAGGAGGGTGCAATGATTACTCAGTGCGAATGAAGGTGCTTAGTATTGACAGTTAATTTATGTTGATCAAGAATGACTGGCCGATGAGGTGTCAGCGCGTTTTAAAGGGCCCATATTACACTATTCTCTAAAACTGAAAACGCTCCACTCCACCTTGTGATGTCATGTGGTAATATAGTAAGTGCTGGTGTACTTTTAAACTCCATACACCTTCATTAGAATCATATGGGTAATTTCAGCCTTGGAATTGCCGATCTTTACTAAACAAAAAGTGAAGCGCAGCTGGTAACTTGAAAACCTCCGCTTCGTGACATCACAATTTGGAACGGAGCATTTTGAGCTTTGGAGATAAAGACAAACTAGTAAAAACGGGTTCTTCAAATGTGTGTGAATGAAACAAAACACAACTCCAGGTATGTATTTGAGGAGGTAACAACATTTTATCAGGGCTTAAAACTCACAAGAGTCAATTTTGCAGAATATTGGACCTTTAAAGTGCACAAGACATGTTTAAATGTTTTCTAAATATTACTTAGTTTGGCAGATAGTACCTGTTGTAAATAATTATCATAGATTTACATTAGTTAAATGTCAGTTTTTGGAAGAAAGTTGAAAGAAAAGTACAAAAATACGCATAATACCTCCACTTATGGTCATTAACTCTAAAAATTCTGTCCAAAATGCAGGAAAAATTTATGCACAAAGAATCTTTTATTCGAATCTTATCTATACTGAAAGTGAAATTTTCGGCCCAAGTTTCGGCTCTTTTCAAGATTATGTTTGCCGGGGGAAAGTCACAAAAAGATCTCTGTGTGCGTCATATCTGCTTTTTGTGTTCAACCAAAAGTGAAATGATCAACTTTGACAAAATAATAAATAAAAAACTAGAAGAAACTAGGTAAGACTTTTAATAAAATCTTAAATATAATTATGTGAACTATGTTTTGGTGTCATATGCACTTTGAACATTTTGGGTTATACATTTGAATGCCGATTTTGTGTCAGTTAATTCAAAAAAGAAAACCTGTTATCTGTGGGATGGAAAATTCTGAGTATTTTGTGTTTTATTAATAAAAGATGTCTGTCAATCAGTCTTAGTGTGATTTCTACGCAAGACCCAGACTGATAATTCTTTGTGATTGGATCAATTAACAAGATGCACTTTACTTGATTAAGTCCAAGGCCCTGTCCGGTCTTATTTGTTGTAACAAAGAATACACCGTTTTGTACTTCATAACTCACCAGGCTTAGCAAATGGATTATTTATCAATATATACAGTATCATTTTCTAGAGCAATTTGCATAAACCTTCTGTCCTAATAGTATATGTATTGGATGATAACAAAAATAAACAAGACAAATTGATTAAAAAAAACATGTACCATATGAAATATTACACAATAATTAACACTATATTCTAAGTTGTAAGTGGGTTTTTTTGGGTTTTTTTTATTCTTGGTATTTAAAAAAGAAAATGTGTTTTTTGCATAAACCTAAACCAAACCAAGTGCCACATAAAAACATACTATACAGTAATTGACCAATAATTGACCGTATATTTTAAGTTCTAAGTTGCATTCAGTAGTTCAGTCATAAAAATTTCAACATACCAGAAATTCCCTACAAATGCAGAAATTGTTTCACCAGGTCACAGTGTGTTCACTGTCAGGTCAGTCACGCTCTTTCAAAATACTGGTCAGTTATTTTACACCAAAGTCATTCCTTCTGTTGAAATGTACGTCTGGTTCATACTAGATACAGGTGTTTTTTCCCGGATGCGATTTCTTAATCCCTGCTGACCTCACTTTATGCTGTAACGTACGTGAAATAAACTGCCCGAATACACTAAAACATGTACATTTTTAAATCAGAACTGTTTAAAACAGTAAAAAGTGAATCTTGTTGTATATGAAAATTTGTTAAATTACATATGGATTTTGGTCTATAAAATGAGACGGGAGTTCAGACTAAATTGCTGGATTTTAGATCGTCACAAACATCAAAACATTCACAACATTCTATAGACCAATAAAGTTTCACAGAGACAGGGGGAAGCTAAAATAAATGGATGTTGTAATACAGTGACCTATTGGGTCTAGTCAGTAATAGAAATGACCACGTTCAACATTTGTGCATTTATCCTTTGTTTTTATTTTGTTTTTTCATTCCACACCCTTCTTTCTTTTCTTTTACTGTTAATTGTATGGTGATTACATGTTTTGTCTTTCTTATTCTGTAAAACAGTTTAAAACAAACTGCAATGTAATGCAATTTCTATGGAAAATTTGTCACAAAATGTTACAACATTTAAAAAGATTTGATGGGCAAATGATAAAATGAGGAGTATATATAAAAATGTACCTTGGAATTAATGTCATCATACAAGAATCTTCACACACCAAAGAAAATAAAAATACTTTGTGGACTAACAATACTAACTGACGTCACCTTACCGTGTAATTATAACGCAAACAAATGACAAAATAGGAATGCAATGAATATGACTTTAAATATCTGGGTTAGAATGTTCAGAATGCGCCAATGTATTTTCATGGTAAATAGTATTACCAAGGTTACTATTTACAGATTAGGAGTGGGAAAAAAAAAAAAAATAAAAAAAATAGTGGAAATGTACCTGAATGCACCATTAAAGTCATATATCATTTATGTTTTAAAGTTGTTTCTTCATCATAAACAGACCTGGAGTTGTGTTTTGTTTCATTCACACATGTTTAACACACAAACCCTGCATATTTAGAGTTATTCTCTCCAACAGAAAACACTCTGTTCCACCTTGTGATGCCATGTGGCAATACAGGAAGTGCTCCAGTGTGTTTGCAAACGTCACACAAATTCATTAGAATACTTTAGATGATCTCAGCCTTGGAATTACCAATTTCTACAGAATAAAAGATAAGGTTGCTGTTAATTTGACAACTACCACTTCATGACATCACAAGGTGCAACAGAGCATTGTGGGGTTTGGAGATGTAGACAGTCTAATAACGCTCAATATTCAAACATGTGTGAATGAAACAAAACACAACTCCAGGTATGATTTTGATGAGGTAACAACATTATAACATGGCTTACAAAACTCAGTTTTGCGTAACATAGGACCTAAAATTTACCAGGTTAATAACGTTATGGTACAAGAATCTCCACACACTAATAAAAATAAAATAAAAATACTTAGTTGACTAACAATACTAACTGACATTATAGTTAGTCACTTTACCGTGTAATTATAACGCAACATGTTATAAAAAGAAGAATGCATTGAATAAGAGTAAAGGACTATCTAGGTTAGAATGTTCAGAATGCACCATAGTACCGTCATGGTAAATGGTATTATCACGGCTAATATTTACAGAGAAAAAATATACATACATGGTGGAAATGTACCTGAATGCACCATTGATTTTAAATGGTACAACTTGACCTATTTTCTGATTTCAATGTTTTGTAATGTTGTTTCTTCATCAAAAACATAACCGGAGTTATGTTTTGTTTCATTCACACATGTTTAACACACAAACCCTGCGTTCTTCTCTCCAAGTGAAAACATTCTATTCCACCTGGTGATGTCATGAGGTGATACAGGAAGTGTAGAGTAGGTTAGAATGTTCAGACTGTGCCAACATACTTTTATAGTAAATAGTAGTCATAGTAGAGTGTGCTAGTGTACTTTCATGGTACATAGTATTATCAAGGCTCGTATTTACGGATTAGGTGTGAAAAAGAAAAAAAATTGGTGGAAATGTACCTGAATGCACCATTGATTTTAAATGGCACAACTTGACCTATTTTCAGATTTTAACATTTTAATGTTGTTTCTTCATTAAAAACATACCCGGAGTTGTGTTTTGTTTCATTTACATCTGTTTAACACACAAACCTTGCGTTCTTCTCTCCAACTGTAAACACTCTGTTCCACCTTGTGATGTCATGCGGTGATACAGGAAGGGTAGAGTAGAGTAGGTTAGAATGTTCAGACTGTGCCAGCGTACTTTCATGGTAAGTAGGTTTATCAAGGCTCCTATTTACGGATTAGGAGTGAAAAAATAAATAAACTTGGTGGAAATGTACCTGAACGCACCATTGTCTTTAAACAGGCAGTCATGAGTAAGCTTCTTAATTCTACATGAGAACAAGATTAGATCAAGTTAACAAGATGTACTTAACTAGATTGAGCCAAAAGGGTGAACACTGTGTCTTTGTGTTGTGATTGATGAGATTCCAATCAGCAAGGACAGCAAAAAGGTCAGGGCCACAACAACCCGTAATAGAGCTTTAAAACCACATGAAAGTCGGTTGAGGTTGCTGAGTTTTTTTCTGTTTGGGGCAAGTGAGCAGCAGGTTATATAAAAGTCTTTCACTGTTCTACATCACTGATCCAATTTACATACTTACATAGTTTTTTTTTTCTTTTTTTCTAGTTTCCGTAGCAACATCAGGGAAGCCCCTAAAAGTTTTCTGCTCCAATTCACACCTAAATATAAAGTCTATACTGAAAATCTGTAATAGTAAAGTGTAAAAAAAATGACTTTACAAGAACTAATGACTGATTACAAGCTAAATAATGTTAATATAGAATGTATGTTGCCCAGTAAAAAAAAAAAAGGTTAAAAAAAAAAAATCTATAATTGGTCTAGTTTTAGAAGTTGCTGAGTTTTTATTTCTCCAAATATGAAACTGAACTCATTTAAATGGAATGTTCCCATATTTTGATGTGGAGATGTGGTGGTTGCATTTTCTGGCATTTAAAAAAGAAGTATTTATAGACACTAGGTACGTTTATCACCCAAAATACAAATTTATTCTGGGTTTTAATTCTTTGACCTTACTAGCCATTCATATTTGTATTCATATTTTGCCTATCAACTTGCAAACACTGGTTTTGTAACTTCAGTCTCCTCTCAAAATATAACTTGAATAACCTGGTGTGAAAAGTAGCTTCTATTGCTGATCAAATTTGACAAATGACCACAAATATTCATAGATATTTTTTATTTATTTATTTTGTAGCAGTATTTGATTTTAATCTACTTATACAAATGCAATGTATATTTGGGCTTTATTTGAAACACAGTGCACTTTTTACCACTTTTAGCAACTCAAAAATTATATATATACTCTGCAGTAGTTTTTGTTGTGGGGCGTACTCATTTTTGCACCACCCTAATTTCACTAAAACGGAAAATTATGCAATCTAAGTTATATTATTAACCTTTGTTTTTGTCCTAAATTCAAAATATGCTGTATTAAACTTAGTGTGCACATTTTGCTAATATTTTTTGTGGTCATAGACATATCCTCCTAGCCAAGGTGGCACCACCTAGTGCCTCTGCTCAATTTCATTTCTCTCTAACGACTAGGTCAGGAATCAGAATACACTAGACGGTTCGCAAAAACCCTGGAAGTGCAAGTTTGGGCACCAGCCAATCAGCAAAGAGCCATACATTCTGTGTTGGTAAGGATTCCTGAGATCGAGGATTTAAAGCCAGAACAAAGAGAATGTTTGGTGAATTTTATCAAGAGGAAAGACGTTATTGCCCTTCTTCCTACGGGATTTGGGAAAAGCTTAATATACCAGTTAGCCCCGTTAGCAGCACATTACATATGTCACGACCAAATAGCAGTGATTGGTTAAATTAAAAAAGTACCCGCCTACCATCAAGTGAATGAATTCTAATGCTGCGAGATCAGGTGATTTCCATGAAGTGAAACCAGCTGATGAATCAGGCCAATATCCTCCTGGTACTCAAAAAAAAAAAGTGTGTTGCAATATATATTTTTTGTGATTTTCTATCTATTTGGAGGTAAATGAACACCTTAGCATTTGGATTTTGTTAATTTTATTTTTATTTATAATTTGTAACCTCTGTGACGTTAACAACCTGACAAAACCAACTTTTTTTTTTTTGATGACCAACATCTCTGACAAGATTCTACAGTCACCTCAAAATGTTTTTAGACTCCTTTATAATTTTTATATATTTTTTTTATCATAGTGCAGCCACAAACTAACTCCTATTGACTTCATTTTTTATCTGGGACATGATAGTAGCCTAAGAACCCCAGCTCCATTCAGGCAGAAGAACCTAGTCCCCCCATTAAGAGTCTATCTCAAAACACTTAAAAGATAGATTGATTAATTCAATGTCCACTATAAATGACACAAATTAAATGGCCATGTCTCAGGAGGATATTGTATAAAATGTTACTTTGAACTCATTTATGCTGAGCTCTGTATTTTTGCTTTTGTGTCCAAATGATTTCAAATGTGGATCTAAAACATTTGTCTAATCCCAAATAACCCAACCACTTCGCTGACTCCTCAGATTGCACCTTCTCTTGAAACATATAATAATAATGAATGTATTTATTTGCTTGCGTCTTTATTTTTGTACCCACTGAGAGCCGTTTGGTCATGAGTCAGACTCTTAAATGCCCGCTAGCAACTTTGCGATAACCAAAGTGCTGATCCCACCAGCAGACGAAGAATAGCGTAATTATACTCTGCCAACAATGAGCTCATCTTTTTGGTTCTTTTGCTTTGCTCGAGTTCTGCTTCATCTTGGCGGTTTTAACTAGATTTCCACAGAGTGCTTTATTCTAGACACGTGACCAGGAGAATCGTGACTCACTACAGTCTGTCCGGTCATATGAATTAGTGAGTGCAGTTAATGACCTTTTACACACTGTGACCACATCAGTAAATGACCAGATCAGATGCACTGGGGTGTTTTTTGACAACACAAAGCAGTTCTGTCCACAGAGTTCAATGCCCTTTGAGCTTTCCAGGCTGGAAACGTGGAACAGATGACAACAAAGCAGTCATCAGTGCTCTGTAAACATTTAGTTTAAAAACAAAGGTGTTGCAATTCAGTGTTGACCTCTGACCCTGTGACCTCCTGGTATTGTTAACTGGAATATTACAGGTGCTACATTTCATGGAACTGACTCTTGTGAGCTTTAAGACATGTTATAATGGTCTTACTCCTCAAAAACATACCTGGAGTTGTGTTTCATTCACACTCTTGTTTTTTTTAGTTTGTGTGCATCTCCAAAGCTCAAAATGCTTTGTTCTACCTTGTGATGTCATGAAATGGTAGTTTTCAAGTTAACCTTTTACCTTTTGTTCAGTAGAGACAGGGCAATTCCAGGGTTGAAATGATTCAAATGATTCTAGTGAAAGTGTGGAGCACTTCCAGCGTTACCGTATGACATCACAATGTTGAACAGAGTGTTTTCTGGTTGAGAGAAGAACTCTTAAATAAGCAGGATTTGTGTGTTAAACATGTTTGAATGAAACAAAACACAACTCCAGGTCTGTTTGTGATGAGGAAACAACATTAGAACATAGATCAAAAAATAGAGTAATATGCCCTGGGCCCTTTAAATGCCCATGGAAAATAAAGTATTAATATCAATACTGTGGATGGAATTGGTTTATAAGTATATCAGTGGTACAGCACAGGGAGTCTTAAAATGTTGACCTGCTGAAAAAGACAGTTTTTATGAGGGGTCTGCAAAAATACCGAAATATCGATATACTGTACAGGGTTCCCACTGTCATGGAAATCCTGGAAAAGTCAAGGAAATGAAAAATGTCTTTTTCCAGGCCTGGAAAAATCATGAAATTTTGTAAATTCGCTGAAAGTTTTGGAAAAGTCATGGAATTTTAGTATCTCTTTCACACAACTACAGCGTTCTGTTTAGTTCTCATGAGGCTATTCTGATTATTTCTGAACGTCTGCGCCTTTAAAAAAAAAAAAAAAAAAAAGAGGCAACAATGAATGCACTGAATACTATAATCCCAAACCATAAGGTGAGTGGAAAGAGTTAACATTTCATTTTTAACCCAAAAGTATGATCAATTCTCATGGAAGATTCACTTTAGGTCATGAAGAAGTCATGGAAAAGTTTTGAAATTTAGTCAGTGAAAAAGAGAGGGAACCCAGACTGTACCGTGACACTGAGTTTGGTGATACAGTATTGTTATCATGAGATGCTGTGTCGATATATCGCCAAGAGTATTTTTTGGTATCTTTTAGTGATTTTTGTGTGTGGCCGCACTACAGTTTTGTTGTTTATATACTGGAAGAGAATCAGTTTATGCAATACACTTGACATCACTGTTTTGATGATTAAAATAAATATATTTCATATGAACCTTGCACAAGAACTGGTTTAACAAAGAAATATTGTTGTTAAAATGGATTTGGTTCTTAAAGGAGCATTGTGCAACTTCTCTGGTGGAGGGTCCATCGCCTGCTTGCTTCTATGGAGATGTCAATTCTCTGCCTGGAATGTTCCGCAGTATGACTTTAAACAGCTGTACCTTACATTTATTCAATTATAGGTGGCATTATTGCTCAAAAATACTTATAAAAACAGGCATTCTGACTGTGAATGGGGTCGCCTCTCCACAGAGCTGACCTGTAACTTGGTCTGATTTGGTCTCCATGAAGATAGAAAAATGCATTTGACGAACTCCCAACCAGAAAAGTTACACAATGCACCTTTAAAAATAGCAATATATCACAGAGTACCATGTGCAGTATATCGAGTATGTATGGCCGTATCGTGGTAATATTGTATAATGCCATGTACTGCGTATCGTATCGAATCATGAAGAACCCTGCGATTCTCAGCCTTACTTTTTACCAGTGGTGGATGAAGTACTCAATTTTGTTACTTAAGTAAAAGTACAGATACAAGGGGAAAAGATCACTCAAGTAAAAGTAAAAATACCACATGAAAAAATCTAAAACTATAGACGTACCTGTTTAAAATTGTACTTTAAGAGTAAAAAGTATTTTGCACAGATTTTTTGAACAATTAAAGCATCAAATGTAGTAATTTTGATCAAGAATTTAGCTGATTTTAAGTGATTCGACTGATTTTTTTAATTTTTCTAGCTGTTTTTGTGTATTTGGTTTGCTCAAAGTTGGGACATTAACTCAAATTAAATGTGCGAAAAATAAGTCTCAGCCATTTCAGCAGGTATCAGACTATAAAGAAAAGTACTGTTTACTTTTCAGTCTAGATCTAAAATGTAGTTGAGCAGAAAGTACAGATATACGTGAAGTAAAAGTAAAAAGCATTCACTGGAAAAATGTGTACTTAAGTATTGTACATTTACTTTTGTACTTTGTTGCCTTCTACTGCTTTTTACATAATGGAAACTTACCATACCAACTCATGAACCGTCCCATAACATGACCCCATGACCCCATAACCCCTTGACAGTGTTACATGGACCTTTTGTCTTTTTACGGCCCACAAAACCAGTATCAATACTCAAACATGCTTTTTCACAACAAAGAGACACCAGCGGGCGGAAAAACCTCACTTTGACCAATCGCCGTTTGACCCGCGATGCACCTGGCGACACGACCAGACGTAACTCTCTTAACCTCGACATGTCCGGGCCTGTCAGAGGGGCAGTTAAAGATACCGAGGGGCAACGGAAAAAAACGTATATGATTGAGGAGTCTGCAGTCTGCAAACACCGGGCCCCACGCATCCTGTGTGACGGGACGTATAGGCTCGAGCTGTAAAAAAGGAACTGGGTGACCTACTTCTCCTGTT